TTCCTCAGCCTTCTTCAGACTGAGATCCCCTTCTGCCCGTGGTTCCTTCCTGTGGCCGCATGTCCTATCATCTGGCCCTCGAGTCTCAAGCTGTGGGCCCCCATTTATGCGATTCTGACCTGGGGTTCCCTTGCAATATCCTAGAGGCCTATGGCTCCCCAGTTGGGAAACTGCTTTAAAGCAGTACTCTCCAAAGTGTTTCCAGGAATTGCAGTTAATGTAGCAAAAGATTTCTGTGATAAGTATGTTCAAGGAGTGTTATGTTAGATACAGAAATGTAGCTTTCTTTCCTACGACATTTCAAAGCTAGTCATTCACAGGGCAAATTAGGATCTTGGTGGGCAGGGTGACTGGAGCTCCTGCTGAAGGTGCACCCAACAGCTACATTGCATCCATCAGCTCAAATTTACTCAAGGTTAATGTTCCCCAGAGACTCATAGTAACATCTTTGACACATTTGGTAAAGGTAGTGAATTTTGATTAAATCAAGTAAATGAATTGGTGAGCAGCAAAATTTCATAAAACACTTTGCAACTAAGATTACACCACATACCATCTAAATGGGGCTGGAGCGATAGCAGTGGTAAGGCGTTTGCCTTGCACACAGCCGGCCCGGCCAAGCCAGGATCGATTCCTCCATCCCTCTCAGAGAGCCCAGCAAGCTACCGAGAGTATCTCGCCCGCCCGGCAAAGCCTGGCAAGCTCCCCGTGACGTATTCGATATGCCAAACACAGTAACAACAAAATCTCACAATGGAGACGTTACTGGGCCCGCTTAAGCAAATCGATGAACAACGGGAGGACAGTGACAGTGACCATCTAAATGACACTAATAATGTCAATGCTGGCTGTTTAGAAACATTCAAAGTGTACTGCAAAGTTGGTGGTCCTGGTGTGAGTGGCAGGGCACACAACTTGCTCATATGGGGCACTAGCTGTGGTTCCCAGCTGACTAGGACCGGAATCCCCCAGTACTGCAGCAATCACCAAAAACACGCCACAGGCTGCCCCACAGCACTGCAGTGATATCAGTGTCTGAGTGGCTCAAGAATCACCGCTGTCACTCAACAAGACAGCTTTTCTTTTTCATTGTTTTTGGGTCATACCTGGTGGTGTTCTGGGGTTACTCCTGGCTCTGCACTCAGGAATCACTCTCGGTGGGCTCAGAGAACTGTATGAAATGCTGGGTTCAAACCCAGGTTGGCCGTGTGCAAGGCAAGTACCCTACCTGTTGTGCTCTCTGCGACCCCGAAAATGACATTTCTTACTGTTTTGAATTTGTGGAATTCATTGGCCAACTTTCCAGCTTGATAAACACATACTGAAACCACACAGTGGCTCTTAGAAAAATTGTGCTTTTGGGGCCAGATAATAAGGCATTTGCCATGCACACAGCGGTGGTGAACAGGACCATGTTTTGTCCCCCAACTGCCTCCCCATCCCAGTAAAGAAAAAACCATGCTCTTAAATTCATGCTTCCATAATAAGAACTATCACCATTCAATGTGAGACACACCAATGGTGGCCTCTTTTCTAGGAAATCCAGTTCCAAAGACGATCTGCTTGGTCTGATTCTTCACGTCACACCAATATTGCAGTTATTAAGGCAATGCCAACCCTGGACTTCTGGACAAAGGAAGCTCATAATTTGATGAAGCAGAAAAGGCAGAATTCCAGTTTGCCTCAGGGTCCAAAACTGGCCTTCCGCGAGTTTCCTTCAGAGAACAAAACTAATCATTGTGAAACAGTAATGATCCTCAAAACTATCATCTCCATCCCTACACAGTAACTCTCTGCTGAGAAATAATAGGGCTAGAGAGCTAGGACAGGGATTAAGGTGCTGGTCCGGCATACCACTGACCTTGGTTTGATCCCTCACACCACACAGGATCCCTGAGCAGAGCCAGAGATATAGTCCCTGAGCATCGCTGGCTGTGGTTCAATACTCCCTATCCAATAAACGCCTCACCAGGAGTGATCCCTAAGCACAGAACAAGGAGTAGGCCCTGAGCAGTGCCAAGTGTGGCTCAACAACCCCATTCTTTAAAAAACAGATCACTTCCCAAAATACAAAAGAGGCTTTGAATCAGAGCTGAAGTATTAGCCTTGCCTATGTTTCTGGCAAAGAGCAAAGGACTATGGGGAGATCATTCTTACAACAGTTAACTATGGAGAAACTGCCTTCCAACCACGAGTATGCAACCGAAGGGTGTCGGCTGGAGTCAAGTCCAGTTCACCAAATCAAGGCTTCCACTGCACCCTCAAGGCTGAATGGTGAGGTGGTAGCCAATCATGGACCCAGGCAGAGAAACACTAGAGGAATAGCATTTATGCTACCAGTGGGCAGGTGAGAACTGTGTTTGCACTATGGAAGTGAAGCCCAGTGGGCGAGATGACCCTGCTGCAGTCACAGCCCCAGGAAGGGGCACCAGTGCAGGCGTTAGTTGCATGTCCTCTCTTGCAAGCATCTCCAGGTGCAGAGCTAGAGGCTCCCTGAGTAGTCCTGAAGTATTTCTGGTGATCCTCTCACACTGAAATGCTAGGGCCCCCGAGACCAAAGATAATGTAACACAAAGCTTCTTCCAGCACCAAAAGACCAACAAAACTCAATCCCCGGATGAACCAAGATTTGCTCTTCCAACAACCCTTCCTGAAACAGAGAGCTAGTTCACTTAGTGGTTGGGAACTGCAGAGACAAGTGCCGTCCCACAGACCTCTGTGCTCACATCAAATGATGCATTCCTGGCAGCAGCCAGCTGGGGATAAACTTCACCTATGGGAGGAACCTATAGATGTCACTGCACTCGATTATCTAATTCACCCTTTTAAAGATGTATAGACTAACCCACTGATCTCTGTTGGCATCACCAGAAACCAGAGGACAAGGAGATGGGAAGAGAAATGACTACACCCCACTCAGGAGGCATTGTGTCCCATCTGTTGTCACTTGCAGCTTCCCAAAAGGACACAGGGCACAACTTTATGTTCCCAGTGCTTTGATTGAGTCACATGGGTAGTCAAGTGGCTGCAGCTCTGAATACTACAGACGGCATAAGCCAGGGGCAGGAGGGCTGGCAGACAGAGAACCAGGTCTTCAGTAAGCAACTGCATGTTACTCCCCATCCAATGACCCTTAATACTAAAAGCCTCGGGGCTGGGGTAGAGCACAGCAGTTTGGTTCCTGGCACCACATGGCACCTCGACCATCACGGGGTGCAGCATGGGGGTGGTATCCCTATCCCCAACACTTCAGGGTCCCAGCAGAACCACCTGCTTGGCCGGCCATCAGTGAGTCATCAGAGAGGCACCCTGAAAAAAGATGGAAAGAGCACTTACAGATCAACTGAACACTATTAAACCTTCAATGGATTTTCATTTAACCTGTAAAACACTGGAGAAAAGGAAATTTGCAACACTGACCAGATATCTGTTACTAAAGAAATATTACTGTTTGTATAACAGGGTATTTGTATTTTCTAAAAATGAGTTTAAAAGGATTAAATGATCATTTGGCATTTCAAAATTGATAAACAAGGTGTAATGTTCACTGAAGATCTGATTAAAAAATGAAAGAATAAAAGTCCTCACAGCAAAATCACTTCTGTCATTGTTAACTGGAGGATTCACAAAAATTGCACGTAAAATAACTTACACTGCCTTTAAAATAGTAATATAATGAGGAAAAATGTGAATGGACCAAAAGAAAGTCCTACACATTCACTGGTAGTTACTTGTTCCAAACCCAATACAAGCAAAGACGTACATTTTCAATGGAGGCCTTAAGACCATACCTTTTGCATGTGATTGCCCTTGATTCTGTTCCCAGCACCCCATATGGTCGCCTGAGTACCACAAGGAGCAACTCCAGAGCACCACCAGGTATAGCCCCCAAAGAGAAAACCAGAAAAGAAAATCTTCACCATTTGCAAGAATCATTTACAAGTTTAAGAATTTGAAAGCTTTTACATTTTCAGGAATCAGAGACTCAGAAAGCTCCTTTCCCCAGCCCCTTTCTAGATGATTGTTTTTTATCTAGCCAAGAAGGCCCTCAGTCCCTCTGACAGAGCTGAGCTTCATGGGCCCAATGAGGACACAAGCTGTACCCTCTGCACACAGTTATTCTAAAACAGTGGTCTTTAGCCACCATTGTGCAGAGAAAAGATGTTCAATACTGCTCAACATTTAGTATCAACAGATAGGAACAGACCATGCTAGCAGTTTGTGCATGATTCTAAGTGTGTGTCAATAAACGTTGGGGGGGACTGGACTATACCTACCCAAGAGTCACACCTATTAAGTGTGCAGGGAAGAAAACAGTGCCAAAGACCAAACCAGGGTCAGACCTATGCAATGCAAGCACTTTAACCTCTGCATTAACTCTCATCCCTATGTCCCTAATGTTTTAAAGAAAAATGTCAAGAGCTGGGGTCATCATGAGATAGTAGATTGCATTTTACAAGGTAAATGATTTTTTTTCACATGTGTTAGTCCTACCGTACTCAGTTCTGCATGCCTGGAATACCATGACTTAAAAACTCTCACTCAAATGGTGACATTTCATACTAACAGGATAACTAGAATTAGCACAGAGATAAAGTTGCCTAACATTTTTGATGAAAAAGAAATACAAGAGCTTCTTCTCATTCTCACCTAGTCACTTATTTCATCATCAAAATAAATCTTTCGTTTCCAAATAAATACTTTGGAAATAGCCATGACATGTTTTATTCTGCATGGTAGGAAACAGCCTGTAAAGTATCTTCATGTCTATGAATGATTTTCTGAGTCTGACCATCCCATGGTGTGTATAGGTGAGTTCCCCTGAAGACCGCCTCTACTAAGTATAATCCTCAAACTCGGCATATATTTTTTGAGTACACGTTCCTATCAGAGTTACTCTTCCCCAGTACAGTGCTTACGGCACCATTTTTGTCAGGATCATCAGAGCAGCTAAAAAAATCCCTGTTATGTGAAAGAAAGCAGACACCAAGATACCAATATCTTCAAAGGCAAATGTATTCAGTTCCTTTCCATGTTGCACATAAGGTATCTATCTATGTGCGTTAGTTCTTCCCAAACCAAGTTTGACACCTTCAAAGATCCACTCATCATCATCCATAGTCGCCATCCTATCACATGTCCTGGTGAGTACCTGACAGTGAAGAGAGGAACCTTCCTGCTGACCCACAGGTCATTTAAGTGGGGAGTGTGTTGGGAAAGGAAGCTATCTAGTCTATCTAAAGTCTCTTCCATCGCCACCAAGCTACAGCAGGGGCCTGTGAGCTTGTTCCAGCAGCTGCCTGGCTGCCCGCAGAAGCCATTGAGATATGCCCAGGAGGGAGGAAGGCACAGGAAAAAAGGAGGAGGAGAACACAATGTCCTAGGATGGAGTGAAGATGTTGCTGGTTGGATAAATGCAGCAATAGGTGAAGCTAAATCATCCTCCTTAAGATGCCATGCCAAGCAGAAAGCCTCCAAAAAATCCGCCGGTTACAAGAACATTCTTCTTCACGAATGACACCACCTACGAACGGATGAGAGTACAGCAGGTTATTTCACTAAGGCCATTCAGACTATGCTGCCACCAATTTTTTAAAAAATTTTTATTAGCGAGAGATCATGAGGTACAATTGTAGACTTACAAATTTTTGTGCTCGGGTTTCAATTATACAATGATCAAATACCCATCCCTCCACCGGTGCTCATTTCACACCACCATGGATTCCAGTATCCCTCCCCCTCTCCCCCCATTCCACCCTGGCTGCCACCAATTTTAATGTCAACTCACTGTCTGCTTAAGTTACCGTGGACTGCCTAATCTACCTGAGTATGCATGCACAGCGAGATCTGGACTTTCCACCAGGAGGGATCCAGATGTGATCCCACATAATTTGAGCCCATGCAGTTAAGGGGTGTTAGTGCACAGTGATGAAATTCATGAGCTCTGTGACAGACAAGCATGGGGCCGTCAAGCACTGTGTTAGGGCAGCGGTATCCAGCTGTGGTCCGCAAACTAGCATAGGGCCTGATGCCGGGCTGCAGGTGCAGAAGGGCAGTGAAGTACTTGTTCGGAGAAGGCCAGGGTTCCTGGGGACAGGGTCAAGTGGTCAACACAGTCATCCTGGTTTCCTGTTTCCCACCTCACCACTGATTCTCTCAAGTCCCCCCTCCTAATCTCCCCCCTCTCCCGCAGATAGCTCCTCTCAGGTGGATATATGCATCCCCACTTACACTTCCCCACCCCAGAGATGATTACAGGTGAGATCCCAGACTTCCAAACTCCAGCCAAAGGCCCCTATGAGGCTACTTTCAAGATCTTGTACTGGAAGCCGAGGAATAAAGTGGGTAAGACTCTCTATGCCCAAATAGAGGCTAGTTTCCCCTCTGGATAAAGGACAAGCTTTGTCAACCACTGGCCACCAAAGCAGCCTGGAACCATGTACCAGTGAGTCACTTTTTCTTCACTAATATTCTAGCTTGCAAGGTCACTACCCACTCATCACTTCTCTCCACCTTGCAAAGATCTAAACACATGTTGTCTTCTCCTAAGATTCATTACTCTCCTGTCCCTCCAGTAGAACTGAACCTGGTTTTATGCAGTACACCAGCCTCAGCAAGCCACCAATTTTCATATCACCACCACAGCACCGCCACTTGTCTACTCCAACTACTTGTGGGGCTGAATATTTGCAAAGACAGCACAGAAACCGCCGAGCTTAAAACACATCCTACCTGTCCCTTAAGATGCCCGGCTGCCAGGTAGGAGCGATACTACAGTGGGAAGGGCACTTGCCTTGCACACGGCTGACCTGGGTTCAATCTCCAGCACCCCATATAGTCCCTTGAGAACCGCCAGGAGTAATTCCTGAGTGCAGAGCCAGGAGTAACCCCTGAGCATTGCTGGTGTGTTCCCCACAAAAAAAGGTCTGCTAGTCCCTGAGCTAGGCATAGCACCTCTAGTTATGTGCAGATATTTTAGATATGTGTATACCCTGAGCTAAAACAGAACGGGATAACATCTTTTTTTTTTATTTTGCTTTTTGGGTCACACCCGGCATTGCACAGGGGTTACTCCTGGCTCATGCACTCAGGAATGACTCCTGGCGGTGCTCGGGGGACCATATGGGATGCTGGGAATTGAACCCAGGTTGGCCTCATGCAAGGCAAACGCCCTACCTACTGTGCTATTGCTCCAGCCCCGGGATAAACGTCTTCAGAAAACCAATAGCTTTAGCATCCTCCCCATCACCATGCTGCTTGCATACTCCCACACTCCCAGAAACTAGTTCAGGGATGACCCATCCCATGAGTACCTGTTTCACCCACCACTCACAAACACCAAGGTCACCAAGCACTTCTATTATCTAGCATGAAAAAAGGCCTCTGAAGCAAAGCCATCTCATTCAAGGCTGACAGGCTTGTGTGTCCAACTCACTGTAGCACATACCACATTGTCCACACCAACAAGTCTCACCTCCTCTGCTTTACTCTTTACCTCCGTGGGTATCTGATTGCTCTTGCGTATCTTCAGCTGTTCCTTGGCTTTCTTCATGTCCTTCTCTACTCGCTGCCAGTCAACCTTGATGTATCCAGTATGATTTGCAAGCTGTAGTTTCCACAAGAACAAACAGCAAGAAATTGGAGACACGGGCTTGCTATTTGTTTGGTCAGGATAAATCATTCAAGTACATGATCAAAAACTCTTGAGCCCTTCCATTTTTGGAGAGTTCAACTCCCCAGTTCTTTGTGTACCAATGACTGAAACCTAATCATCTGTGTAAGGGTCTATTAATTAAATCACAGTGATTTAATTTAAAAAATCTTAAAAATAAAAAATGAAAGAAGAAAAAAGAAAACCAGCTTGTTAATCCATTCACACCTGTGGGTGTATAGTTGGGTTACTTCTTCTAGTTACTGGCTATTTTAAGCATCATGTTTCTATACAACAGGATACTACGACTAAGAAAGAACGATTGGTTTACAGCCGAAACACAGCTGAATTCCAAAAACCGCACGAAGATGAGATTCCAATTCCTTTCCACTACCTTCATGTCCCACAGGTCAGAAAACCTGGAGCAATTTCTTGAGGGCTAATAAGGAAAGAACAACTGACTGACAAGCCTAGAATTTGCATTTTTCATTTTCCCTCCATCATCACGTGGTATGGTCTAGACTCAAGGGAGGAGTCAAAAACACTTGCCAATATTCAACACACTCATGATAAGAAGTTTGATTTAAAAATAGACATAGAACTTCAGAGCTGGAAAGAGAGGACAGGAGGTAGGCTACTTGTCATGCATGCAGCCAACCCATTTGATTCTAGGTCCTACATAGGTCCCCCAGCACCACCAGGGGTCACTTCTGGGCACAGAACCAGGAGTAGCCCCTGAGCAATACTGTATGTGGTTGGTCCAAACGCCTCACATCTCCTCAAAGAGGAAAAATTCAACCAGTGGACAACATTAGGGAAACCGGAGTCAGATTCACACATATTCTTGATTTTATATAGGATAGAGGCCACAGTGCAAATACCAGAAAAAGGTACTTACTCACTGAATGCTCATAGGCCAACTGCCAGTGTGAATGGGCAGACTGGATCACTAAGTGGAGCTCCTCTTACCTCCTACCCGCATTCCCCCGATGCCAGATAATGTGAGTCTTTCCTGGAAACACATCCCAAACTAACCACTGTTGTCAGCGAAGACTCCCCAAGGAGAGCGTCCACTCAAAGCACTGTGAGAATAAGGAATCTGGGGCTCTACAAAGCAGGAAGAGAATGGGAGAGAAAGGCACAAGGGCCCCCTCCTCCAGGAACTAATGAACTGAGGAACTTGCTAGTAAGCATCAGAGTGCTACAGAACCAGCAATGCTTCAGGAGTTGCAGAAAGGAGAGGAATAAGTCTCACCTAGATCCACCAGGTTTTTCTGGTCAGAGTCCTGAGGCCAATGGCCCAGTAGGGAGAGCAGGGGAAGGTGAGAACAGGAGGCCCAGGGTCCCAGACCAGCTCCAGACCTCTGCCCATTCACCTTCTTCCTGGAACCAAGAGACACCCCAGCTACCGGGACCACTGGAATCCTTCCAAAAGGCCTACCCCAGAGAAAGGGGCAGAGAGTGAAGTCATGGTTACTTGAAGCCTTAGGTTATCAGAAACTTGTGCTATACTATTCCCAATCCAGATATACCATCCCATACTCGAGTACATCTTCTCTCATACTCTAGTATATCCCATATTCAGGGAACATAACACATCATACTTTACCACTGAGTACACTGGTCCAGCCCCAGCCTGTCACCAACTTCCTCCTTTCATACATTTCATCTTTACCACACCCATCTGAGATGGCACTCTTGGATTATTGGGGGAGAGGCAAGTACTTAAGCACATGAACTATCCTTCTGGCTCCTCCAACAGTGGTTCAAATATTAAACTCGAACTTACCTTGCCAAAATGAGGGATTCTAACTGTGTGGGGAGCAGGGAGTAGGGGAAGACAAAGGGCTATGAATTCAGAGACTCTGACTGAATTCAACAAACCCCACCTCCTACTCTACCCTTTATTTGGTGCTCTCTTCTCTATCTGAGCTTCCTTTTCACCTAGAACGTGTGGCTGGCCTTCCATTCATGGAGCAAAATTCCTGGTACTAATCTTAGCCACTCCTGGGTGTTACTCTCCCATTTTGTTGCTTTATGTTCCCCAGATGAATGCAATCTTTCTGTGTCTATCCTGCTCTTTCTGACTCATTTCACTTAACATGATACTTTCCATGTAGTACCACTTGTATGTAAATTTCATGACTTCATCTTTTCTAACAGCTACATAGTACTCCATTGTGTAAAGGTACCAAAGCTTCTTTAACCAGTCATCTGTTCTCGGGCACTCAGGTTTTTTCCAGATTCTGGCTATTGTAAAGAGTGCTGCAATGAACAAACAATTGCAGATGCCACTTCGACTATATTTTTTGCCTCTCTGGGATATATTCCCAGGAGTACACCTTGTATTTTTAAAACCACATTTGCTTAACATTTCAACTAGTCTTAAAAACCCTGAAAGAAGTCAGGATAAGAAATAGGTCCTTATATCCCCCCGTGACGGCAAATAAAATGACTAGTCATTAATAAGGTTGGACTCCCACAGTCACAAACTAAAACAGGACTTGGGAAACAGAGTCAGGACTATACTGCACCTTCTTGGAGGCCATTCCTCAAAGGGTAACTGGAATGGCCATGCATTTAGGAACATTTCATATACTTACCTGAAGGAGAAAGAATCCACCTCCCACAGCTGTTGCAGCCAACTTTCCAACCTTCTGAAATATGAAACCTGTGCACCTACAAAATAATAACTAACATCAGACAAGTCGGCAGGCTACCAGAGACACGCACAAATGTGCTTCTAACAATGTCACAACCTACCTCTCTTGGGGTGATCCAGTTCCTACTGCTCCATGCACTGAGCCAGTCCAAAGTGGATCCTGGCACAAGGAGATTGCCAAATCTCCATAACCCAAATTCAGAACCTTTGACACTACCCCTTATACTAACTCTGTGCTTTAAAAAATAGTGCCATAAAACTCCCTGGTTGTATGTTTTACAATAGAAAAACAAAGAGGAGCAGATGCAAAGGCAGGGAGGGAACACAAGACCACTATGAAGATGTGAGACGTACATGAGATGTGGCTGGCTGTGCACAGGGGCTCGTTGGAAACCTCCAATTGATGATTACTGTTTCTCTCCCTTAGAATGTTTGCCATGGCTGGACACAATGTACTGCAATTATTCCTCCCAGAGAAGACAGCCTCCCTAGCCCTTAACTCATGTCCAACCACCTTTCCTTCCTCTGCTCCCTCTACAGCAAAGCTACCTACAGGCTCACCATACCAGCTGTCTTTTCTCTGTCTACACCCCGCCCAGCCTCTCAAACCCACCCCCAGCAGGCCGGCACCATGGCTTCAAAAAAATCATCCCTATGGATATTACCAATGACCCTGACCTTACTACAGCTGACATTCACTGCTGAGCCTTTATCCAACCTGCCCATCAGCAACCGCAGCACCATCCATCATTCACCTTGAGGCATTGTTTGCTTCGGAGTGCCACTCTCTACTGGTTTCCTTGCCACCTCACTGTCCTTCCTTCTTCAACTCTTCTGCTTACTCATTTTTCTGACTGCTAAAAGCCGGGCTCCTCAGCACAGTCCTAGGATCTCTTTTCTATGTACCCAATTTGGGGATATTCTCATCTAGTTTATGTCTCTAAATAGCCTCTGCTCTGGTCTAGGCCATGACCTCTACCCCATTTCATTATAGCTGCAACACAGACTGTACAAAGTCTAGAAGAGTTACTAGCAGGCTCTTTATAGAAAACTTGGTGTCAATCCCTACACTAAATTAAGTCAAGCTCCTGCTCCTCATCTTCCAGCAGCTCTCCATCCTACTCCAGGAGATAGCTGAAGACCTGACAACACACCATAAGCCCCATATATTTCTATTTCGACCCCCCCTTTCTACTCCACTCCCCTCTGCACACTTTTCTTAGTAGGAGGAAACTGCACCTGGAACAAGGCAGGGAGGGCCTTACAAGGTTTTTGAAGGTTTTAAGCAAAAGTGAAGCATTAGTATAGAAGAGACTCCTACACTGGAAGGGTGCTAGAACTAGTAAATGGAAGGCCTCATCATAGTTCTCCAATTATAAGCTGAAGTACATTCCCCGACATTTGCAACCAAGCCTTTACATTTAGTGGCACATAAAAAACAACTGAATAATTAATTAACCTTTATTCCTCCCATTAAAAAATTCACGTCTAATAGGCCAGAGCAGGTGGGGCACTTGCCTGGCATGAAGCCAACCTGGTTGAACCCCCAGTACATGCAGTCCCCTGAGCCGGCCAGGAGTGATCCCTGAGTAGAGCCAGGAGTAAACCCTGAGCACCACTGGGTGTGGCCCAAAAAACAAAAAAAGAAAAAAAAGACATGTTTGAAGTGAAAATAAAATATCACATTAGCATTTTTGTTCAGGCCTTGCACAGAGAATCATCATGACCCCATGCCACTCCAGTATGGTGCTGGAGCGATATAGTACGAAGGCACTTGCCTTGCATGTGGCTGACCTAGGTTCACTTCCAGGCATCCCACATGGCCTGTGGAGCACAGCCAAGAGTCATTCCTGAGTGCAAAGCCAGGAGTAACCTCTGAGCACTGCTGAGTGTGTCCCCAAAACAAAAAAGGCCATCCCAGCAGTGCATGAGGGTCATTTGAATTGTTTAAGCCTTGTATAAATATGCCCATCATAAGAATCAAGGACAGCTGTAACAACAAAAAAGATATCTGATGTACACTGGTGGAGGGATGGGTTCTGGAACATTGTATGACTGAAACCTAATCATGAATAGCTTTGTCAGGGTCTATCTCACAGTGATTCACAAATCACAAACAAATCATCCTGTTAATCGTCGATTGCCTCGAGCAGGCCCCAGTAACGTCTCCTTCATCCTAGCCCTGAGATTATATTCAAGGCTCTTTAGGAGAATGAGACCCATCATTGTTACTGGTAATTAGCATATTGGGTACGCCACAGGGAGTTTGCCAGACTCTGCCGTGTGGGCAGGCTACATTCGGTAGCCTGCCAGTTTGTCCAAAGTAGGACCAGCCACCACCATGCTGAGACCACTCACAGTGATTCAATTAAAAAAAAATAAAGGAGACATCTGGTACCCAAAAATGAAAAATTTAAAGTACTTACTATCCAATTACAAATGATCCGGATGAAATTCCATAAATATTGTAAATCAGTAAGTCAATTAAAAACAAAACTAACAAAAATAAACTTCAAACTTAAAAAAAAAGACAACCGGCATGTAAAGTAGGAAAAGACCCTTGATGAAAACTAATCCCATCAGCGGCCAAGACTCAGAGACTATAAAATCCAGATCCCGGACGAGAAAAGTGCAGTCTCTGCCCCCGCGCCTGGGTGTTCCTTCCCGGAGTCCCTTGGAGGGGAGCGGGTTGAGCTTTCCTCCCCGCCCCGACCAGGGCTACGGCAGCCGAAGACCTCCAGGACCAGCCACCACCATGCTGAGACCACTCTCCGCACACCTGAAGGTACTGGCAGAGGGACAAAGCCACGCGGGTTCCGGGGCCGAGACCTCCAAGCCTACTCGATTTGGAGTCGAGCATCTTCCACCCAGATCCTCCAAATTCCAGTAGGCGGGGGTCACACCCACCACCTGGCCCCCTGGCGCCGTGTAATCCCATCAGCGGCCAAGACTCAGAGACTATAAAATCCAGATCCCGGACATCTTATTATTTCATTCCTACTTTGGACAAACTTGCAGGCTATCGAATGTAGCCTGCCCACAGGGCAGAGTCTGGCAAACTCCCCGTGGCCTACCAAATATGCCAAATACCAGTAACAATGATGGGTCTCATTCTCCTAAAGAGCCGTGAATATAATCTCAGGGCTAGGATGAAAGAGACGTTACTGGGGCCTGCTCGAGGCAATCGACGATTAACAGGATGATGAGATGAGATGAAAACTAAACCAACTGAAAGCAATTTATAAATGGTACAAATGATGATTCATAAACAACATATTATAGTCTGTTCCAAGGACTTAATACTACATACGAAGTGGTAGAGCAAGTTTTGAAGGTACATTGTGATGAGTAATAGCTGCATCTTATAAACTCCAAAGCAACCACTAAAACTGCACAATAAAGGAGATATTGCTAATAATAATCTGACAAAAGATATTAACAGAAAATACACATATGACGAGCCAGAAAGATAGTACTTTATGTAGGGTGTTTGCCTTGCATGTGGCTGACCCAGGTTCAATCTCCAGAACCCTCTATGGTCCCCCAAGCCAATCAGATGTGATCCCTAATCACAGAGCCAGGGGTAAGCCCTGATCAAAACCTAGTGTCGTCCTCTCAAAATATATATTTATATATACATGGATGACCCTCAAAAACATTAAGCTAAAGGAAAGAAGTAAGACACACATACTACATGAGCTTGGGGAGAAGACAGCTGGGATACAGAAGGGATCACTAAGTCAATGATGGTTGGAGGGATCGCTCGGGATGGGAGACGTGTGCTGAAAGTAGACTAAGGACCAAACATGATGGTCTCTCAGTATCTTATTGTAAACCATAATGCCCAAAAGTAGAGAGACAGTAAGAGGGAAACTCTGCCATAGAGGCAGGGGGATGGATCAGATGGGGGGTAGGGATACTGGGGACACTGTGGGTGGAAAATGTCCACTGGTGGAAGAAAGGGTGTCCGATCATTGTATGACTGAAACTCAAACTTGAAAGCTTTGTAATGGTATCTCATGGTGATTAAAAACTTTTTTTAAAAAAGAAGTCAGGCACACAAGGTCCCATAATTTCTGGTTTTATTTTTCTTAAATACTAGTAAAAGTAGATTCAGAGAGACAGAGATCAGATTGATGATTGCCAGTGGGTAGGGGGAACTTAAGTCACTGCCCAGTGGGTACAGGGTTTTATTTTGGTGTAATGGAAATGTTCTGATATTGAAAGTAGCAGCTATTAGATTTACAGCAGACTTATCAGATGAAAGCCTCTGCATCCCAAAACAGTGGTGTGATATAGTGAGAAAACGGAATGAAATGAATGCCTCACCAAGAATACTTTATCTGGCTAGACTCCCATTCAGATATGAGGAATGATACAAAACTTCGTGGATAAACAACAACTCAGGAACTTCACTGACTCAAAACCAACTTTAAAAGAAGGACTGAAGAGGTTATTGAAAGGCAAAGCAAACAACACAAACTCAACAAACTTCTATAGAAAGATGACAAAAACCCATGACAATCTTCTCTCTCAATGGAATGGACTAAATGCAGCAATTAAGAGACATTGAGTATGGGCTAGTGATAGCACAGAGGGTAGGGCATTTGCCTTGCACATGGCTAGTACGGGTTCAATTCCCAGCATCCCATATGGTCCCCTGAGCACTGCCAGGAGTAATTCCTGAGTGCAGAGCCAGGAGAAACCCCTGTGCATCGCCAGGTATGACCAAAAAGAAAAAAAGAGACAGAGAGTGGGAAAATGGATTGAAAAACAATCTGGCATTCTACTGCCTACAAGAAACACACTTGAACAGTCAGAATAAACACAGACTCAAAGTCAAAGGCTGGAAAACAATTCTTCAAGCAAACAACTCCTTCAAAAATGCTAGAGGTGGTTGTACTAGTATCTGACAACATAGATTTCAGGCTGAAAAAGGTTAGAAGAGTGAAGGCCCTTTCCTAATAATCAAGGAATATGTACATCAGGAAGAAATTACACTTCTAAACATTTATGCACCCAACAAGGGGCCACCAAAATACTTCAATGAACTGCTAACAGACTTCAGGAAGACATTGGCAGCAACACAATAGTAGCTGGAGACTTCAACACAGCTTTGTCACCTTAGATGAATAGAACTAAAACTCAGCAAGAAAATACTGTCTTTGAAGGAAGAAATCAAAGAGAAGGAGCTAGCAGACATATGTAGGACATTTTATCCCCACAAAATGCCACATACAGAGTCTTCTCCAGTGCATGTGGGACATTCTCCAAGATAGAGCACATCCTGAGCCACAAAAAAAACCTTCATAAAGTAACTGTCACTGTCACTGTCCTCCTGTTGTTCATCAATTTGCTCGAGCCGGCCCAGTAACATCTCCATTGTGAGACTTTGTTGTTACTGTGTTTGGCATATTGAATACGCCACGGGGAGCTTGCCAGGCTTTGCCGTGGGGTGAGATACTCTCGGCAGCTTGCCGGGCTCTCAGAGAGGGGCAGAGGAATCGAACCTGGGTCGGCCATGTTGGCTGCATGCAAGGCAAATGCCCTACCGCAGTGCTATTGCTCCAGCCCTCATAAAATAAATAAAGAAATTACACCAACTATATATTCAGACCGTGATGCACTTAAAATAGATGTTAATCACACACAGAACTGGAGTATAAGATATCAAACACGTAGAAAGTAAACAGCTCACTACTGAACAACCAGTGGGTTAGAGAGGAAATCAAATGACCTGGAAAGAAATGAGAAAGAGCTAACAGAACTTGTGGGATACAGCAAAAACTTTGTGTGAAGAGCAGAGTTTATAGCTCTACAAGTATTCATCAGAAGGAAAGGGTCCATATAAGTAATCTGAATTCACAGTATAAGATCTTAGAAAATGACTAACAAAAGAACCCAAACCAGGCAGCAGCAAAGAAATAATAAAACTCAGAGCAAAAACTGATGAGCTGGAATCCCCAAAAATAATCCAAAAGATCAATGAAACCAAGAGCCGTTTCTTTGAAAAAATAAACAAGATCAATTTACCATGAAAGAGAGAAGAGGAGAGAGGGAGGAGAGAGAGAATCCTAATACACCAAGTCAGAAATAAAAGGGGAGGGGGGATATCACAACAGAAACAACAAATTCAAAGGATCATCAGAGATTACTTTGAGAATCTGTATGGCACAAAACAAGAGAACCTTTAAAAACTGGATAAATTCCTGGGTTCCTATAACCTACCAAGGCACAACCAAGAAGATCTGGAATAACTGAACAGACCTATCACTAGTGAGGAAATTGAAACAGTAATCAAAAGTCTCCCCCAAAACAATAGCCCTGGCACCGATGGATTCACTAGTGAATTCTTTCAAATCTTTAAAGAGGACTTACTGCCAAGTCCTTGTCAAGCTTTTCCATGTAACTGAAGAAACAGAAACACTCCCAAACAGTTTCTATGAGGCAAACATCATCCTGATATGAAAAGCAGACACCACAATAGAAGAAAATTTCATGCTGAGTATCCCCAATGAACACAGATGCAAAGATCCTCAACAAAGTACTAACAAATAGAATGCAATAACTCATAAAAAATCATACACCACGACCAAGTAGGATTTATTCTGGGGATGCAAGGATGATTTACCACTTGCAAGTCAATCAATATAACACACTATATCAATGAGATAAAAACTATATGATCATATAAAAGATGCAGAGAAAGCATTTGACAAAATTCAGCACCCCTTCATGATAAAAACTCTCAACAAAATGGGAGTTGAAGGAACTTAACACAATAGAGTCAAAGTCGACAACAAACATTATACTTAATGGGAAAAACTAAAATCCTTCGCTCTAAAATCAGGCACAAGGCAAAAGACCCCATTCTTGCCACTCCTTTTAAATTTAGTACTGGAAGTACTCACTATAGCAGTCAGGCAAGAAAAAGATATCAAGGGCATTCAGGACAGGAAAGGAAGAAATCAAGCATCCACTATTTGCAGCTGACATGATACTATACTTAGAAAATCCTAAAGGATCTATAAAAAAGAACCTAGAAATAATAGATTTGTATAGCAAAGTAGCCGGATACAAAACCAATACCCCCAAATCCGTGGTTTTCCTATATACAAATAATGAAAGAGAAGAGATATTAAAAAATTCTGTTCACAATTGTGCCTCAGAAAATCAAGTACCTTGAAATCAGCCTGACTAAAGAGGTAAAGGATCTATACAAAGAAAAATACAAAACACTACTTCAAGAGATGAAAGAGGACACAGGAAATGGACACACATCCTCCTGTCAAGGATTGAGAGGACTAACCATCAAAAGGGCAATACTCCCAAAGCACGATACAGATTCAATGCAATCCCTATAAAAATATCCATGATATTTTTCAAAGAAATAGATCAAACACTCCTGAATTCATATAGAACAATAAAACCCCATAAATAGCTAAAGTAGTCCTTGGGAAAAAGAAGATGGGAGGCTGTAGGATTACCCTGGTTTGTCCTTCCTATGCAGCCTCAAGTAGTTTAGGTTTATTGGGTTGCTCCCATCACAGTGTCCCCATTTCTCTGTGTTTATTTGTAACTTCTTTCTTTGTGCTCTGTTGGCTTTTAGATACTGTTTTTCTCTTCTCCTTAAGTCCTTTGCATAGTTTATTCAGAGCAATGTCCTTTTTGTATGGGCACAAGAAGACAGTATATGCTATGCTTTTGTAACATGACTCTCAGTGATATTTTCCTCCTGGGCATCTGTTCTCTTAAGCTAAGTCTCAGCTGCCCTTACTCCTAGTACCCCCAAAAGCAGGGTCCTGACAAGGGACTGGATGGAACCAGGGCAAGCAGTAAGCTATGTGCTACCCTGGCATCGAGATGGGCCTGGCCAAAGTTAAGAGCTTGGTCACAGACAGACGCTGTCATGATCCAAAAAGTAATAACTAGATTTGGACCCTGCTAGGATTAGGAAAGATTAAACTGGCCTGAGATATTCCCAGGAGACTGCCCTACAAGCCTCAATGTATCTTTTACTGTGTCCATACAAAAATAACTAGTATTAAGATGTTGTTTGGGCCGGAGCTATGATAGCATAACGGGTAGGGCGTTTGCTTTGCACGTGGCCGACCTAAGTTCAAGTCCTCCACCCCTCTCGGAGAGCACGGCAAGCTACTGGAAGTATTCCGCCTGCATGGCAAAGCCTGGCAAGCTACCTGTGATGTACTGAATATGCCAAACATAGTAACAAGAAGTCTCACAAGTTACTGGTGCTCGAGAAAATTGAATGAAGAAAAAAGAATCAAGAGTGGAGAAAAAAGAATGAAGGGAGGAAAGTTCTGCTACAGTGCAGTGCTATTAAGATGTTGCTAGAGTTATTGGATTGAGGAAAGGAGAAAAACACCTTAAGAGGTATTTTGCCCTTGAGCAGTGAGGAAGACTTTGGAATACCCCAGGTGGTGTTTCCGCCCTTGAGCCTTGCAGTCAGGAAGGGATTTCTTGTGTTGATTTGGCTACCAGACTGGGTGCCCAGAGTGCTGGGGAGTTGGAGAGACAAGAGAGCTTGGGAGAGAGTGGGAGAGAGCAGGGCGGCAAGATAGAGTGCAGAGAGACTAGCAAGGGGGACACAGAGAGCAGGATGTGGAAGAACACAGGAGCAGGCGCGTGGAGAGAGAGCCCAGGCTGCAAGATGGAGCGCAGAGAGATGAGCGGGAGAGACGGGAGGCTCAGAGAGACTGGAGCGGGCACTTGGGGGAGAATGGAATAAACAGCATCTGACCAATCAAACAGTTGTTTCCTCCTTCCATCTGCCCCATGCTCTGGGCTGCCCCTGCTGGATTCAAGGAAACTGGGGACACCGATGGTGGGAAATGTACATTGGTGAAGGGACAGATGTTAGAATATTGTATGACGGAAGGGACAGATGTTAGAATATTGTATGACAGAAACCCATTCATGGACAACTTTGTAACTGCTTATCTCACGGTGATTTAATAAGAAAAAATTTTAAAAGAAAATAGCAGCTGAATTAATCTGTGAACATACTAAATGCCACTGAATATAAATGCCACTGAATTACAAAATGCTTAGTTTTATACTAATGAATTTTGCCTCTAAAATTATTTAACACAAACACACATATAATATACATATTCATACATGCATACATAAACATATATAAGATATAACATAAACATAAGATTAAATAAGATACATAAGATATCTATCTATCTACTTGTCTATCTACCTATCTATCTATCTATCTATCTATCTATCTATCTAATTTCCCAATCTGAACGAACAACTCACCATGCTATGTAACTGCCAAAAATCAACCCATAAAAAGATGCCCAACATCATTACAGGGAGATGTAAATTAAATCACAATCAGAAAATACTCTTTTCAAGTTTCTGGATGCTGGTGACATTTTCTTTAGCGGGAGTGGGAGTTGGTTTTTAATCCTTTAAAATGCATTCTTATTATATGCACTGTGTATACTTGTATTATGTATCAATTATACAATAAAGAACTTCAAATGTAAAAAGTAGCACCTATAAGACAATGGATCATTCAATTTACTGTAACTACTTACCACCCAGTGACACCTCCTATTAACAGCTGGGTTGCCACGCTGTACTTTTCAGCTGAAGGCCCTGTCTCCTGCCCAAACAGTTTGCGCCACCATGGCTGCTTTTTGGCAAGTTCTGCAAGATCCAAGGTGTCAAAATTTCCTAGAAAAATAAAGACAGTGAGGGCCAGGGAGAAGGTTCAAAGGGCTGGAGCTCATGCTTTATGTGCAGAGCCCCAGGCTCAACCCCCAACACCATATAGTTCCCTGAGAAGGTAAACTCTGAGTTCAGAGTTCAAAGGGCAAATATTTTTTAAAGGCTGGAGAGATAGTAGAGAAAGCAGGGTTTGATCCTTAGCACCACATATAGTCCCTTGGCACCACCAAGAGTGAATGATCCCTGAGTGCAGAGTGAGGAAATCACACACACACACACACACACACACTGAGCACCTCAAAATAATATAATATTCTATCTTTAGTAAATTAACTGAAATTCTGACTAGCAATTTTTGAAAGCCAAACTAAAATTTAAGAAAAGTAGGTCATTGTATAACTGAAACCCAAGCACAAAAACTTGTAAGTCCACAACTGTACCTCCTGGTGCTTCACTAATAAAAATTACAAAAAAAGTAGAAAGTATAGAATAAGTAAACTAGCTTTTACTCTCAAAGTTTTGACAAAACATAAGTCATAATAATATATGCTTAACAGTTTTGTTCAGTTGCCTCTCCTTTTACAGAGTAAATGAATCTATATAGTAGCCCATAGGGTCTCAGTAATATGTGGCTTTCTAGTGATTATAAAGAGGCAGGGGCTGGAGAAAGGAAGTAAGGCATCTGCCTAGCATACAGCCCCTCTGGCCATGATCCTGGTTTAATCCAGACACTGCTTACCATCCTGAGTATAGGCAGGGTAACTCCTGGGCAGTGTGAGGATTAGCCACTGAGCACTGCTAGGTGTACCCCTAAATCCCCCCAAAATACTAAGGTAATATTAAGTTATTTATGTACCAGATTATGACTAAGCAATAAACATATATATATATGTGTATATCTTGAAATCCACAGAACAAGATTGTACTTATAACCCCATTTTATATGTAGGAAACTGAGGCTCCAAGGTGAAGTGATTTGTCCAAAGGGAAGAGAGTTAACATGCCTAGTACTCCATTTCTCTGTGGGAATACAACCTTGGGTTTACCTACACTGAGCCCTGCTTTCATCACAAAATGTTAACAGTTGTTGAGGAGTGGTTGGGAAAATGGAGACAGTGGTAGAAGGCAAGGTGACAGAGGTAGTGGGATTGGTACTGGAATACTGAATGCCTGTAACAAATCATCATGAACAACTTTGTAATCCATGTTGTTTAGATAAAGTGGGGTGGGGAAGAAATGTTTGCAATTGTTATCCAGGGCTGTCTATTCTAAAAATAATCAACTCCCACTGGCTTGAGTCTATGAATGTTTGTCACAAAATGTTGAGCATGCAACCAAAGAGGCAAAGCCACATGATGAAAACTGATGATACATTTTGTAAAAATGGCAAAATGGAAGCAGAACCAGACAAGACTCAGATGCTGAAGGAAGCAGATAACAAAATTAAAGAAATTCTCAAAAGGTATAGATAGAGTTTATAAAGAGAATAAGACAGAAGAAATACAGAGGCATTACCAGACAGACATGGAAGTCTGGAATGCAAAAAGGGACAGTAGAAAGGTTAACAGCTAGATAAATTTAATCATTACTGTATGAAAAAACTAACCACAATGTCTTGTAAACATACATGAAAGGAGTTTCACGTGTTTCTAAATTAAATACACTTCTAAGTAATCTGTAGGTTAAAAATCAGAAGGAAAATCAGAAAACTAGAAAACTTATTCACCTGAGGAGGGGCTGTCCTTAGTTGCCCCCTAAAATAAAAAGTAAGATAAGGATGTCCATCCCAGAACTTCAATTCATCATTACATTGGAGAGACTAGTTAGTGCAACAAAGAAAAAGAAAAGGGCGTGTGGAGAGATAGTACAGCGAGTTTAGTGTTGACTTACATGCGGCTAATCCAGGTTTGATCCCTGGTACCCGTAGCACAGTGGGTAGGGCATTTACCTTGCATGCAGTCAACCTGGGTTCAATTCCTCTGTCCCTCTCAGAGAGCCCAGCAAGCTACTGAGAGTATCTTGCCTGCATGCCAGACCCTGGCAAGCTCCCTGTGGCATATCCAATATGCCAAAAACAGTAACAAGTCTCACAATGGAGATGTTACTGGGCCCGCTCAAGCAAATTGATGAACAATGGGAGGACAGTGCTACAGCACAGCGCTACCCCATGTGGTGCCCCAACCTCCTCAAGAATGATACTCAAGCAGGGAGCCAGGAGTAAGAGTAAGCCCTGAGTACCACTAGGTGCAACCCAAAAGCCAAGAAAAAAATGGAAAAAAGAAAAAGAAATATATGTAGATTGGAAAAAGATGTAATAAACCATTACATCAGCAGGTGATCTGATAATATGTCAAGAAACCTGAACACAATCCACAAAAAGGACTAGAATAACAATTAGCAAGATCACAGGATACAAGAGAAATAGAAAAATCAGCTGGATTTCTATGTATTAGAAGTTAAGAACTGGAAAGCAAGATCAGTAATTGTAAAATTCATATAAACTTCATGAAAAATGTTTAAGCTATCTACACTGTAAAGCACAAAATAAATGTCTATTCTTTCCACATCAACATGCAGATTCAATGCAAGCCCAATCAAAAAGCAGGTCGCAGGTCTCGATCTACAATATGATGATCTGGTTTTGTAACGTCTATGGTGGAGCAAAGGACCTTAGACTGCGCTTTCGGTTGCTCTGGTTGCACTACAAGTTAGCACAAAATTTCATGGAGGAAAAACAATCGTTATGCTTCAGATCAGAATTCAGGCAGGCTATATATAGTACTACAGCTCATCTCTTCCATGATGTCTGATACTTCAGATGGAAGCCTCACAGACAGCTGGAATCCTCTACAACATTCAGACACACTGGCTGCCTCTCTGTGTAGGTACTTTGGCTACTTTCAGGATGTGTATCCAGGAGAGTGAGGGAAGTAGAAGGTTAAGACAGAAACTCTGTTCCCATTTCAGACATGCCTCTGAAGCCTCAGCAATATGAGTTCCATGACACCTGTTGTCCCAGGCACAAAATCACACTCAGATTCCAGAAGAGGAACAGAGACCTCATAAGTCTCTAACAGGACTATCAAAGTCAGAGTGAAAAACAGAGAAGCTATGTGGTTGCAACTCTCTAGGAAAATACAATGTGCCGTAAGTGGCCAAAAGGAGTTTGGGGAGAAAAAAGAACAATGTTTAAGGAGTTCAAGAATTCTGTAAAGCTACATGGGGCCAGAGAAAGCACCATTGGCAGGGTACTTGCCTTGCACATGGCCGACCTGGATACAATCCCCAGCACTCCATATGGTGCCCCACTCTCTGCTAGGAGGATCTCTGAGTGCAGAGCCAGGTGTGGAGTCCAAAACAAAATAAAAGCTACAGTACGATGGGGCCTATTAACGCCAAGATGCAGTGTAGAATAGAACCAACATAATTAAGAACTGACCCGGATACAAAAATCTATGAAAGAAGTCACTGGGTCTATAATTAGATGACACACCACATAGTCGTTCAGTTTTCAATAACATGCCACCAAAGAAATTCAAGGGAGAAAGGCTTTTCAACAAACTAGAAAGAGAAAAGCCTTTTAGAAAAACTAGGTATCCATACCAGCAAGAACAAAAACCAAAAATATAAAGACCTCTCTTCACACCAAGCAGAATATAACTCAAGGATTAAGGATGGATCATAAATACAGATTGTAAGTAAACAAACTACAGATGTTCAAGAACCTGAGCTCTCTACTTCACAAGTACTTAAAGGTAAAAGGTAAAGGCCCTCCCGTTGATCGTCGATTTGCTCGAGCGGGCCCAGTAACATCTCCATTGGAGACTTTGTTGTTACTGTGTCTGGCATATCCAATACTCTCGGTAGCTTGCCGGGCTCTCCGAGAGGGGCGGAGGAATCGAACTCGGGTCGGCCATGTTGGCCGTGTGTAAGGCGAACGCCCTACCCGCTGTGCTATCGCTCCAGCTCCTCACAGCGGAGTGATAGCACAGCGGGTAGGGCGTTCGCCTTACAAGCGACCAACATGGCCGACCCGAGTTCGATTCCTCCGCCCCTCTCGGAGAGCCCGGCAAGCTACCGAGAGTATTCGATATGCCAGACACAGTAACAACAAAGTCTCCAATGGAGACGTTACTGGGCCCGCTCGAGCAAATCACAAGTACTTAAAGTAAAAAATTTGTTTTTAGCTTAACAAAACATGCCACTGCTGTGTTGGGTAAATACAATGGGAAGATCGAGTTTTCAGTTTTGGCTAAACATACTGTACAAAGCCCCTAGAGCTCTAGTCGAAAGAGGCTCACCCAACTTGATTCAGTCATTGAACAAGCAGTGCTAAGGACTACCACGGTAAAAGCCAGTCATGGGGGCAGAGCAATAGTACAGTGGGTAAGGTGCTTGCTTTGCATGTGGCAAAGCTGGGTTCGGTTCATGGCATCACACATGGTCCCTGAGCACTGCAGGGTGTGGCCCCAAACCCCCAAAAAAGCAAGTCAGTAGCTCTACTTAAGGACCCAGGAAACCCATCACCGTAGCATTTCCAGCATCCCTACCTAAAGATCGAAATACATATCAAAATGTCTCATTATTTCCTAGGTGCAAATATGTGGCCAACCTATACGTATGCAGTGTACACACACACACATTAGACGGTTGTTAGTCATCACACGTGTACAGGGTGGTGCACCCCGGAGCTAGGGCCCAGGCTCTGCAATACTTGAAGTGAGGCTGAGCTGTAAGGAAAATAGTTACACCGAGCACTCGAAGCCTCTGCCGGTCTTTAGCTGTAAGTTACCGGGAGAAAGCGACCTAGAGCTGCCCAGTTCCACGGTATGACAGTCACGGAGTGCGACACTAGAAGCAGTGGCGAGACGCACAGTCAGCGCCACACGCTGCCCCGTGGCGCGGAGAGACAGAAATCCCACAGGAGACTGAGGGGAAACCGCGAGTCCGCAAGCCGCGCACCCCGTTCCGCCCGGACGCCGAGCAACAAACAAACACCCGCGCGGCCGCCGGGACTCCCCGCGCCCGACGGGACGTTCGGAAGCCCTGCCTCCCGCGCCCGGGTTCCCACGGTCCGCTCGGCGCCCGCCGCCTCACCTTGACTGGACGCCGCCATTTCCGCGAGCTCGTCTCGCGAGGACACCCTCGAGCGCTCCGTGTGGGCGTAGGACGAGCGGCTGCTGCTCGAGGGGCCGGGTTGGCTTCCGGCACGTGGGGTAGATGTTTCCATTCCCACGGCTTAGGCGGAAGAGGCCGAGCCAGGCCCGCGGCAGCCACTCCCCACCGCCGCCCGCTCCTGCGTCACAAAGGCCACGGCGCAGGCGCGCAATCCGTCGGCGGTGCCAGAACTGCGCCTGCGCAGAACTCGGGCCGCCGGGCCGCGCTGCGCCTGCGCAGACACAGCAGCCGCCGGCCCCCTCCTGGCCTTTCTGGGCCGGATTTGTGTTTGTCAGGTGAACACTGGACGTTTTCTGTCCGCTCCCGCTGTGACCAAAACTGGAGTCCCGACTAAGACTTGCTAGAGAACAGATGAGCCTCCCTGCCCCACTATATCTATGGAGCCCTATAGCCAGGGCAGGTCGCCCACCCCACCTCTTAACTGGCGGTGTCCTTCCAAACCCCTGCACACTGCAGCTTCGCAGCCGTTTCTCACTCTCCAGAGCTCTTATCCTAGACCCGTATACTGACTAGATCCCCTGCCCCCACTCCTGTTCCCATCAAATCTTTTCTCCCTACGGCGGCGAAGAATTCGCCTAACAGGCAATTCCAATCACCAGCCTCCGTGAGAAGCCCAAGTTCCTTTTGAATGTTTGACTTCACACTTTGCATGATCATCCTCATTTAAAGTAGTAACCTGCTACCCCATCTGCTGCGTGCTTTCTTTCGTACACATTTACTTGACTTTCTAACATGACATATGAAAGCATTCCTCTATCATTAGTATCACTCATTGTCAGTTGTTTGCACCCAGAGCAGAGAGCATGGCCTAGATAAAACAAATAGTGAGGTTTTTTTGCTTTTTAAAGTTGTATTTGGTAATTGAGTCACCGTGACATACATAGTTACAAAGTTGTTCAGTTTCAGTCATACAATGAGCCAACACCCATCCCTTCACCATTGTCCATTTCCCATCACCAGTGACCCCAGTTTCCCTCCAGCCACACCCCCCAGCCTGCCTGCCTCTATGACTCTATGACAGGCACTCTCCTCCTCCTTCTCCTCCTCCTCTCTCTCTCTCTCTCTTTCTCCTTTTGGGCACTATGGTCTGCAACACAGATACTGACAGGTCATAGTGTTTGTTCCTTTACCCTCTTTCGGCACGCAGTTCCTATCCAGAGTTCAGAGCTCTAGAGTGATCATTTTCAACTATCTTTGCCATATTTGTCATAATGGTCCCTTCTCTATGGTTAGTTTCATGATCTCAGGCAAACTGAATTTTCAGCACCTCAATTGTTACTTCCTCTCTATCTAGCAGTGTGACTATAGGGATGAAATGGTAGTAACCTGAGGGGCAAGAGCAATCACATAGTGAGTAGGGCACTTGCCTTAGAAGTGGCCCACCCAGGTTTGATCCCTGGAATCCTATATGGTCCCCTGAGCCCCATCAGGACTGATCCCTGAGCATAGAGCCAGGAGTAAACCCTGAGAACCACTGGGTGTGGCCCCAAAACAAACAAGAAAGAAAATGATAGTAACTTGGGTTGTTTTCAGATTTTGGCTATTGTGAAGAGTGCTACAATGAGCATAGGAACGCAAATGTCTTTTCTGAGCAGGATATTTGTTCCCGTGGGATACAGGGGTACATGCTCAGAATTGGAATTGGTGGGTCATATGGAAGCTCAAGTCTTAGTTTTTGAGAAGTGTCTATATTGTTTTCCAAAGAGATTGAACCAATTGACATTGCCACCAACAGCAGAGGGTTTTTTCCCCACATCCGCACCAACACTAGTTGTTTTTTTTTTCTTTTTTGGTGTATACAAGAAACTACAGTAACGCTACACAATGGAATACTACTTGTCTATAAGAAAAGATGATACCTGAGCACAGAGCCAGTAATAAGCCCTGAGAACCACCGGGTGTGGCCCAAAATTTGAAAAATAGACAAAATCATGCAATTTGCCATTACATGAGTGGCACTGGAGAGGATCATGCTAAGTGAAGTCTGCCAGAAGGAGCAGAACAGATATAGAATGCTGCGTCTCATATGAAGGATATAAAGAAGAATAGTAGGGGCCAAAAGCAACAGAATACAAGAACTTGGCTGCAGAACTCAGCTTTAACAAAACAAGAAAGAGAAGAAACCAAAGTGAGCTTACCCCAGCAGTGTGATGTGGAGAGGGACTCATCAAGGGGGGAGTGAGGTGGAACCCTGAGACAATACTAGAAGGAAATGAACACTCTGGTGGGAGGGTGGTGCTGGAATGTCGTATGCATGAAACTCTATCATTGGCAGTATTGTAAAACTGTAAATCACAATGACTAAAATTTAAAATATGCAGAGAGTAACTATTTGCCTACCTTTCCTCTTCTTACTGTTCTTTTTAGCCTCAAGGGCAACTCTATTTCAGTGCTCAGGAGGGTCCTCCTAGTGTTGCTGGGGATGGGGAACATTATGGTACTGGGAATCAAACTTGGGAACCCCTGCATGCAAAACACATGCTCCAGCCCTTTGAGCCTTCTCCCCTATGTTTGTCTACACTTCTGTGTTCCCCATAGTCCTATGGCTCCAGAAGAAGAGAGTTTTATTCACCTTTAAACATTGAAGGCATAGGATTATACCCCTCACTCTTTAGAGCCAAATTCCAACTCTACAGCATTTAGAGCCTAAATGCTACCATTTGCAAGCGCGTGACCATTACCAGGTCGCCTAGCTTTTTATCACCTGTACGCTGAAAACAAGAATTGTCACTTCATTGCAATCACTTAGAATAAATATATCGTAGATGCCAACTATTATCTCCATATGCTGCTCCTTGGCAAAGAGAAGAGCTTAGCAAATGGTAACCAAAGGGGCTTCTTCCTGCTGGTTTCCAAGCTGGAAAATAGACGGCCCTTTGTTTTTTTGGGGCAGGTGGTGGGGGAGCACATATGGTGGTCCTCGGTGGCTATTCCCATTGATGTGCCGAGGTCAAACCTGGGCCTCTTATATGCGAAGCATGCACTCCAGACCCTTGAGTTCCCTCCTTGGCCCCCAAGCACATTGAAAAGAAATGGACTCTTGGTATTAGTCTATCTTCTAAACATTTAAGTCCAGTTTCTTTGGATTAGTGACTATTCTTTAAGGTCCCAAGGAGGAACTCAGCTTGGGCTAAGTATGGCTACATTTTGGGTTTTTTTTCTTTTTTGTCTCTTTGTTTCTTTGTTTTGTGGCCACATCTGGAGAGACTCAGAACTTACTCCTGGCTCTGCACTCAGGGATCACTCCTGGAGGGGCTTGGGGAACCATATGGGGCACCGGAAATCCAACCCAGGTTGGCCATGTGTAAGGCAAGTGCCCTACCTGCTGTACCATAGGGCACATTAACATTGTTTTGTCCTTCCTGCATAGCCTCAGGTAGCTTAGGTTTATTGGGTTGCTCCCATCACAGTGCTCCCATTTCTCTGTGTTTATTTGTATCTTCTTTCTTTGTGCTCTGTTGACTTTTAGATATTGTTTTTTCTCTTCTCCATAAGTCCTTTGCATAGTTTATTCAGAGCAATGTCCTTTTTGTATGGGCACAAGAAGACAGTATATGCTATGCTTTTGTAACGTGACTCTCAGTGATATTTTCCACCTGGGCATCTGTTCTCTCACCTAAGCCTCAATTGCCTTTCTTCCTAGCGCCCCCCAAAGCAAGGTCCCGACGAGGGCCTGGATGGAACCAAGGCAAGCAGTAAGCTATGTACTACCCTGGCATTGAGATGGACCTGGCCAAAGTGCCTAATGCTTAACTATAAGTTAAGAGCTTGGTCAGGACAGATGCTGTCATGATCCAAAAAGCAATAACTAGATTCGGACCCTGCTAGGGTTAGGAATGATTAATCTGGCCTGAGCACTGTAGTCTGAGTTTGTGGCAAGATGTTCCTAGGAGAGCTGCCCTACAAGTCTTAATGTATCTCTTACTGTGTCCATACAAAAATAACCAGTATTAAGAAATTGATAAAGTTATTGGACTGAGGAAAGGAGAAAAACACCTTAAGAGGTATTTTGCCCTTGAATACCCCTAGGTGATGTTCTTGAGCCTGGCAGTCAGGAAGGGCTTTCTTATGTTGATTTGGCTACCTGATTGGGTGTAGTGTTGGCCCAGAGTGCTGGGGAGTTAGAGAGAAGAGGAGTGGGAGAGAGACAGGCACTGGAGAGAGATGAGAGAGGGAGCAGGGCGTCAAGATGGAGTGGAAAGAGACTAGCAAGGGGAACAGAGGGAGAAGAATGTAGGGAAGAACACAGGAGCAGGCACGGGGGGGGAGAGAGAGAGAGAGAGAGAGAGAGAGAGAGAGAGAGAGAGAGAGCCCAGGCTGCGAGATGGAGCGAGGAGAGATGGGCAGGAGAGACAGGAGACAGGAATGAGGGGCTGTGTGAGACTAGAATGGGAAGCTCAGAGAGACTGGGGCAGGTGCGTTGGGAGAATGGAATAAACAGCAATTGCTCAACCAGCTGGTTTGGCCCTCATTTCCTCCGCTGCTGTCTGCCCCATAGCCGGGCCGCCCCAACTGGGGGAGTGGCCTGAACTCCCCCCCCAACCTAGGCGGCTAGGGGAAGAGCCGTCGGGGTCTCCCCCTGGCCGCCCCTGGGGATTTTATACACTGTACTATCACTCCAGCAAGCTACCGAGAGTATCTCGCCTGCACAGCAGAGCCTGGCAAGCTACCCGTGACGTATTCAATATGCCAAACACAGTACAACAAGTCTCACGATGGAAACGTTACTGGGCCTGCTCGAGGAAATCAATGAACAACAGGAGGACCGTGACCGTGACTATCACTCCAGTCACTCCAGCCCCAGCATGGCTGCGTTCTGATATATTGTTTCTACGACAAATGTAAACAACTGTTTAAAAATATGTCAGGACAGGCCAGGGATTAAGTGAGAGAGAACATGTCCTGAATGCGTAAGGCCCTGCATTATCATACAAGCACCATCTGGAGCCTTGAAGCACTGCCAGGTGTGAACCCGATAACAATAGCCAAAAGAAAGGAAGCAGCGTCAGGCAGAACGCAAAATAACAAAGTAGGCAAAAGCTGGAGATGTGGCTCAATGGCAGGGCACTTGCCTTGCTGGTGTGAGGCGCTGGGTTTGTTTCTTGGCACTATTTCAAGAAAAGAAAGTAAATGCACTGGTCTGAGAGACAGTGCAATGAACTGGGTCTCACTTGCATGCAGAAAGCCTAGGTTGGATCCCTGATACCACATGGTCAACCGTGCATGCTCTGGAGTGACCCCTGAGGCCCGCAGGTGTTCTGAGTGCCCTGCAGAGAAGGGACGCAGGAGGCAGGTGAGTAATGCCAGCCTGGCTAGCGTGCTTACAAAGTAAACGTGATAATGCAGCTTTGAGATCACTGAGAAGACAAGGCTGGAGCTGAGGCTGGAAGGGAGTCCACGATGGGGCCTGACTGGAGAGGGGAGAAAGAAGTCTCACGTACAAAGAATGGTAGGCACAGAGACCTGCTTGGTCTCTTCAGGACGAGGCAGAGGCCAGTAGCCAGACTGAGTGCAGACACACCCAGGGGAGATGGAGAAGCGCTTGACCTTGAATGACGGCAGCGAAGGGGTCTTAGCTCAGGAGTGATGTGATCAGCTCTGCGGTGTGGAAAAGTTGCTTAGTGGGGTGAGGAAGAATGCTTACTGAGTGCTGGAGCGCATGGTCTACACGCAGGAGGCCCGAGTTTGATCCCAGGGAGCGGGCCCCAAGCCATGCAGTGTGAGTAGCCTCAAACTCCACTGCATGTGACCCCCAAACAGACCCCCCAAAAGGAATACCAGTAGAAATTAACTGCACTCTGTTAGGACGCGGATCGTGATCTCCCTTTAACGACAAAGAGACTCCAGAGACTGCAAACAGCAAGCAAGGTTTATTGTAAGACTGGCTAGCCAGGGTCGAGCCGCCTACACAGACACGCAGGTCAGATAGGTGAGGCAAGACCCCGAACTTCTTCAAAGGGGGTCTTATATAGGCCTTCACTGGCCGTTACAGCAAAGCCCGCGCATTTCATAGCCAATAGATTTGTAACAACATATACTTTCTTAACCAATCCATTTGAAAGTACATCAAATGTACTTAGCCTATAGATTCCAAGATCAGCATTTACGTACACGGGCATTGTGGCTAGTGGGCATCTGGTAACTCGGAAATTTGGTTATCACCTGGCTCCCTTTGATTTGGTGGAAGCGGATAAGGGAAAAGTTCCTAACAGAGGTAACAGATAAGGAAGGACCAACAAATGGTTTCCGAATTTACATCCCAATAAGGAAGGGCTTCACAGCTAAGGCTCTACTAGGGAGGGGTCAGGAAAGGGAGAGTTACTAATTAGTAGAGTTTTAACTCTGGAATCTTCCTCGGGGTCCCAAGGGACCTTACACACTCAAAGTCAAAGTGGCTTTGACTTCACCTCCATTAGGTCTGAGTTCCTGTCCCTCGTGCTCCTGGGGGGAATGGGTTAAACTTTAGCTCGGCCTCCTTTTTCCTTCTTCGTGTCTTCCTGTGGCTGCTTCCCACTGCCCCAAAGGAAGCAGCCCTATCCGCTACTGCTCAGCCCAGCGCCTGCACTTCCATGGCCCTCACCTCGTGGTGACAGTGGGGACTTGTCCCTGGACACGAGAGAAGCTACCTTGCTTTCTCCAGGAGGAGTTATCCCTCACTTCTCCAGCTGAACATTTCCCAGCAGTAAAGCCATGCATGCACATCTCTGCACTTGCCTCTTTCTGTGCGTCTGGCGAGTTGGCTTTAGTGCCACCAGGAAACACTATCTGGGAGCCGTGCCCATGCTCTGGGACTACACGCACAGCGAGCTTCTCGGAGAGCTGCAGGTGGTGTCGAGGTAAGCGGGGCTGCCCTGGAGACCCCATGGGCAGGTCTGGGAGCTGGGTTGCTTCGTGGAGCCCTTTGCAGTAAGGGTTGCCTGTGGCTGGATTATTGACACCCAGGGTCCTGTACCCAACCCTTGATCTAGGGCAGATCATTGAAATTCTGTTCTGCCATGTCCAAACTTCCCTTCGTTCCATGCTGTCAGTCTGAAAACCAGAGCAGGGGGTAGCAGGGCCAGTGCAATAATAAGGAGTTATCCCCAACAACTCTTGCTCAGTCTCCCTGCAGGCTGGCATGGAGGTGACCAGGTCAGTAAGACCCCAGCACATTGTGTATGCAGGGGCTTTGCTTATGGTCGGACCCAGTTTGGGTGGAAGCATAGTATTCACCGTGAGGGGAGAAGCTATTTATCTGTTGTGGTCTGGTGCATTTGGAGAGAGCCAAATTAAATCATCTGGAATCTTTATTTATGGGCATTGACTTATTCCTATTTTTCTCCTTCTGCTTCAGTCATTTTGCTTCTATATGTTTTCCCAGAAAGCCCGCTATTGTCCCCCAGGTTTGATAATGTGTTGAATTCAAGTTACGGAAATTTTGTGAGATTTTTACACTCTTCTAAGTCTCTCCTTATATCTCCTATTTCTTGCTGTGTGTTCAGTTTATTATCTCTCCCTTTCTTAAAAAAATATTTCCAGGTCAAGAGGAATAGTACAGAAATTAAGGCATTTGCACAGCATGCAACCAGTCCCACCTGGATCCCTGACACAGTGTGGTCCATCAGGTATCACACCGGAAGTGACCTCCTGCTTAACACAGACCTTCTTGAGAACTGCCACATGTGGCCCCAACCCCCCGTGCCCCCAAATGATTTCCAGGGCCCAGGGATATGGCTCAAGTGGTGGAGATGTGGCTTGCATGTACAAGAGCCTGTGTTCTCTCCCCATCATTGCCTGGTCCCTTTAACAGTTCCAGTCCTGGTCCTCCCAATAAAATAAAATTCAATTAAAATAATATTTTCAGTGGGCTGGAGCAATAGTACAGTAGGTAGGATACTTATCTTGCACATGGCCTCCCTGGGTTCTATTCATACCACCACATATGATACTTCAAGCCCTTCCATGAGTGATCCTTGAGTGCAGAGGCAGGATTAAGGCCTGAGTACTGCAAAGTGTGCCCACTCCCCAAATAATAATATTTTCAGGAATTTTATAATTATAATGCTTTGTCAGGAAACATTTTAGGGTTATTAAGTTCTTCTTTTACTTTCATCAATTCATTCCTCCTTAAAATTTTCCTTGGGTTCATTTTGTTTTTCCTAATTTTTGCTCATTGAATTAAATGCCGAAATTCTTTATTTTAAGTTGTTTTCTTCTCTTTGAATGCGTATACAAAGGTTTTAGCCCAATACACATGTACTGGCATTACAAATGTGAAATATGGTCAAATACTACACACTCATTATTCTCTTGGTTCTTCTTCTGCCCACAATCCTACATTGGCTCCTGTCTTCTATCCCAGCTCAGTGTCCTCAAGATGATAACACATACTCATGCAAACAAAGGAATTCTTAGTGATTGGTTTACAAAATTGAGTTACTATACACACTTTCTTGCTCCTTAACACCTAGTAGAATTCTGTATGAGTCAGCCGGCATCATTTCAATTCATTCTTTTTAACACCTATGTAGGATTCAATCTTATTCCAAAGGTTGTTTTTGTTTCCATCATAACCTATGCCATTGCATATGCTAATGCTTTAGTTTTTTATTTTAAATTTATTTTGTTCTAATTTGGTGGTCACACATTGTGGCACTTGGGAGTACGTCCAACTCCTAAGCTTGGAGATTACTCCCAGTAATGTGAGTTGGGGGCGTCCATGTGGTGCCAGAGTGTGAGCCTGGGTCAGCCGCTTGCAACATCAGAGCCTTACACCCTGTACTATCCCTCTGACCCTATTTATTTTTTGGGGGGGGGTCCTTAAAAACTGACATTCCTGGCAGTACTCAGAGACCTGGACTCTACCCAGCTAGTGCTAGGATTTGAACGCAGGGCCTTGATCATGTGTGACATCTACTTGTCATTTGAACCTGTTCATCTGGCCCTGGTGCTTTTATTTTTCCCCCACTCCTCCCCTACTTCCCTCCTGGTGCTTTCATTTCTGTGAAACACATTCTAAAGACACATATAACTGGAATGAAGGGTATATACCCTTTTCAGATTTAATTTCCAAACAGACAAAAATTCTTATTTATTTATTTATTTGCTTTTTTGGGTCACACCCAGCGATGCTCAGGGGTTACTCCTGGCTCATGCACCCAGGAATTGCTCCTGGGGGTGCTCGGGGGACCATATGGGATGCTGGGAATCGAACCTGTGTTGGCCATGTTGGCTGCGTGCAAGGCAAACGCCCTACCCGCTGTGCTATCGCTCCAGCCCCAGACAAAAATTCTTTAAAAATTTTTGCCATCACTTGTTTGTGTATAACTGCTAAATTTTATACAGCTTTTTATTTATTTGCTAGCAAGTTTATCTAGTAGTATAAATCAATATTGCATAATTATCTTCATTGTATTTCAGTTCATGTTTTTGGGGGTACCAGAGATTGAACTCAGAACCTCATACAAGCATGTGCTCTACTGCTGAGCTATATGGCAGGCCTCAAAACACTCTAAATTTCTAAAGAGGTTGAACATCTTTTCAGATGTTTGTTGGTGCACTTAATTTTTGAGATTTTACTATTCATATGCGGCCAACCCGAGTTCAATTTCTTCCCCCCTCTCGGAGAGCCTGGCAAGCTACTGAGAGTGGCTTGCCTGCATGGCAAAGCCTGGCAAGCTACCCGTGATGTAGTTGATATGCCAAACACAGTAACAACAAAGTCTCACAATGGAGACGTTACTGGGCCCGCTCGAGCAAATCAATGAACAAGGGGAGGACAGTACTACTATTCATACTGCCTATTAATTCTTTTGGCCATTTTTCTTTAGGCTCTTTATATTTAAATTTTTTTATTTATTAATTTTTATTTTATTTTATTATTTTTAATTAATATTCGATATGCCAGACACAGTAACAACAAAAGTCTCCAATGGAGACGTTACTGGGCCCACTCGAGCAAATCGACGATCAATGGGAGGGCCTTTACCTTACCTAATTTTTATATGCCAGAGGGTTTTTTCTTTTTAAAATTATAAGAATCGTTTAAATTTTAAGGTACAAAGGTGGTGTTTAGGAATGATAGAGCCAAATATCCAAACCACAGAGTCAACACTGAAATCGAGAGACTCAAATCGTAACACTGAAATCAAGAGAACCAAACTTAGAAAGGTGCCTGTCAAGAGCACAAGCTGGATGGGGGAATATGGGAGAGAACCTGGGAACACTGGTGGAGGGAGGCTGACACTGGTAGTGGGATGTGTGCTGTAATATTGTATGTCTAAAACTCATCTATGAAGAACTTTGTAAATTATGGCGTTTTAGTTTTAAAAATGTGTCAATTAAAAAAATAAAATTAGTTCTTGAAGGAACTGGGGTACATCTGGCAATGCTCAGGGCTTACCCCGGCTCTGTGCTTAGGAATTACTCCTGGAAGTGCTCGGGGGACCATGTGGAGTGTCAGGAATCAAACCCATTTCAGCCATATGCAAGACAAGCATCTTGCTTGCTGTCCTATCTTTCTGACCCTAAGAATCCTTTTATTAATCGAAGAGTTAAACCTTTGGTATACTACCTCAATAAACTGATGTATATTTATTTTTGGATTTGGGGTCTCACCCGGCAGTACTCCGGGGTTATTCTTGGCTCTGAACTCAGGAATTACTTTTGGTGGTCTCACGGGAGCATGTGGGATGCTGGGGATCTAACCTGAGTCAACTGGGTATAAGGCAAATGTCCTACCCGCTGTACTATCATTCTGGCCCTGGTTAATATTTATTATAATGTCATGGCAATCCTATTATTTCTCTATTGACATTGTTTTTAGCTATTAACCCCCAAAAGTTTATGTTCGTTTTGCTTTGCTTTTGTTTGGTGGTGCCTGGAGGACCATGTGGTGCTGGAATCAACCCAGGTCTTCCACATGCAAAGCATATGCTCCAACTCATTGAGCTATCTCCCTGGCCCAAAACTTTCATTTATGTTTTGTAATAAATATTTTTTCTTTTATATATTCAGAGTTGCCAGCTTTAGCTAAAAGGACTTTGCTAGGGTCCAAGAGGTACTACCGTGGTTAACAAGATAGTACCTTGCCTTACACACAGCCAATCATAGGTTGATCCCTGGGACCACATATGGTTCCCTGAGCACTGCCAGGAATGATCCCTAGACAAAGAGCCAGAAGTAAGCTCCACACACATCTGAGGATAGCCCTAAACCAACCCCCAAATAAATTTGCTTTGTCAGGATCCGAGAAGATAGCTCAAGGAACCGTTGTGCATGAGGAGTGTTAAGGTTTGGTCTCTGACATCATGTGATCCCCCAGCACTAACAGGTAGACCTGAACACTACAGGGTGTGGTCTCCCAAACCAACCAAACAACAAAAGCCAAGCTCTCTGGGAATTCTAACCGTAATTTTATGAAACTTGTGCACTAATTTTACTAGTTCTATTATTAATGTAAATAATTGCATTATTGCGCTGGAGTGATAGCACAGCAGGTAGGGCGTTTGCCTTGCACACAGCCGACCCGGGTTTGATTCCTCTGTCCCTCTCGGAGAGCCCGGCAAGCTACTGAGAGTATCTTGCCCGCACGGCAGAGCCTGGCAAGCTCCCCGTGGCGTATTTGATATGCCAAAAACAGTAATAACAAATCTCACAGTGGAGACGTTACTGGTGCCCAATTGAGCAAATCGATGAACAACAGAAGGACGTGCTACAGTTCTACAACTGCATTATTACATTTTCCCTATGCATTTTATAAGTATGCTGCTATTACAATAAAATGTTTTTCCTATTTTCATTTGGGGATATTAGTGTCCATGTCCAGCAGTTTTCAGGGCCTACTCCTGGCTCTGTG